TTCCTCGGCGCTGAGCTGTCAGTACTGCCCAGGCAGGTTTTCCTGGTGTCCAGCCGCAGGCCTTAGTCCCGCTGCCCCAGCCGTGTCTCTGCTGTAGCTGCCCCCAGCGCTTCTCCGTGCGCCATCGCGCCCTTTGCTCTGAGTCGCCTCAGGCTGGCAGTGACTTACTTGAACTGTGCAAGCCTGAAAGCCGTGTGTCTGCTGAAACCCCTCGGTGAAGATCAGGGAATTACTTCATGTGCCTGACCGGCTCTAATTCTTTAACACCAAACTGCACGTCACATCTGCCTCTTTGTCACTGGGTTGTCAGCACTGGCCTGTGCTCAGCATTGGATACCCCCTGGCCCCAGTGGCACTTCGTGCAAAATAAATTGCAGCCTTTGTTTCCATTCAATGGAATAACATGGCTGTGTGCCTTCATCCCCAAGTACAGAACCTTGCACTTGTCCACCTTAAACTTTCTTTTGTCAGTTTTCCTCACTGACATCTCATCTCTTCCTTGTGACAAGTATTCTGAATTGTGATACAGCATGCTTGAAGCTGCTCCCAAATAGGAGTAGCTGCAGGTTTACTAAGGTACTCTTTTTTCATTCAGGTCCTCGATGAAATATAAGGTGGAAGTGTAAATGGTATGTGATCCAAATTCACCAGTGTCAGTAACCTGTATTGTCTTTGTAACTGGTCCCAGAGAAAAAATAGAATTTTTACAGTGAGTGTTGCAGGCCTGACTAAGTGCCAAAAAGCCTTTTTTTAATCAATAGCGGGAAGTCAGGAGTAGGGGGTAGAGGTGCTTTGCAAATATGAAGTTCCCTGCTATTTACCAAGGGCTTTCTTATGTTTGAGCAAACAAACCAAACTTTCTGAGTCTTCTTGAAGACTTTTTTTTGCTTCACATGTCATAACGGCCCTTTCTCTGTTATTTCTTGTAGTTTAAATTGATCTGTTTTGAGTGGTTAAACATAACATTTTGCACAGTTGCTGATCAGGCCTTATCATTATTGTCCTATATAGCTTTAGTAATTGTTTTGTTCACTGAAGACAGCTCAGTTCACTTGTGCATTCAAGGATCAACTTGTCTTTTTTTCCGTCACATGTCACTTAATTAACAGCTCCCTATTGCCTTGTGACATCCAGGTGTGCAATGAGACACACAGTGCTTCAGATCTTACTAGTCTCCAGGTGCATCACCTTGTGCTAGACCTTTGTACCATTGAATTTCATTCTGGTGGTGTCACTACAGCCCTGAAGACAGTACAGAATTTCCTGTATAATAATGTGACCTTCCTCAATAAGGTAATATCATAATTTGTCAGACCCCTGTGCTTTCTGGAGGTGGAATTTTTGTTTTGGTTTTGTTTTGGTCAGGAATGCTGTACAGTGTTAAATAAGGCTACTATCAACATTCTTTGTGAAACTTGCCTAGTAACCTCCAACCAGCTCTGTATTCTTTCAGTTGAGCAATATATTGCTCCCCTTATAATTATTATACATTTTAAATTATTTTCTCCTTTGTTTTACGGCATGATATTGTATGCTTTCTGAAGTTAGCTTCACTTTTGGGAGGTCTCAACTTTGCATTCCTACTAGCTGTGAGGACAGGCAGCTCTGTCTCTACTGTAAAAAGCAGCTCAGATAGACCTCCCTCATACACAACTTCATAGAGGGAAATTTTAAGCTGTTAAGCAGTATGACAATACATGATTTCCCTGGCTAGTATTTTATGCTATTGTAATTATTGTTTTCTGTCACAATCCTGCTCCCCTCCACCCAAGTTGTTTTCTCCAGTTTGTTTTCCTTCTCAGGCTATAACTGTGACACTGGCAGTTTTCAAGAAGAAATTGAGCTGGGGAAATGAAAGGGTAGAAGAGTTTGAGTCTTAGGTTTCATCAGAGTACCTCTTCCTAAGCACATCTTAATGAATGTCTTGTCAGGGATCTTTTGTGAGTCAAAGATTGCAGGCTGTGTCAACACCTTTCTACCATACAGAAAAAGAGAGCAGGTAAGACTGGGGGCAGTGCTCTCCTTTTTTTTCACTCCGAAGATTGACCTTTCAGTGCTAGGTGGAAAATCACACCTGATCCTCATAACTACACTAACCTCAAACACAGCTGCTGCCTCCTGTTCACCTTTCAAGCCATTAATTCATCTGTCCCAGCTCAAGGAATAGACTTGGTGTTTAAAGGAAGAGTAATCAAGGTGTTCTTTCTTGCAACAATTGATATATTTAAGAAATAATTATTTCTTGAATTCGGAAAAATGATTTCCCGCAGTCAGGAGACTTTTCCTCTGAATTTCCCTGCTTTTCTCCTACATCTTTTCCACTGAGGTGGCTACAACAGGTTTATGTGCAGTAGAAGTCAAATTATTAAGAGTCTATGTGGCTGGAAACATTGTCCTTATTCAAGTCTCAGTGAAAGTGGCTGGAAAATGTCCTCTGGAAGCTATACATACCTCTTAGTGTCTGATATCAATATTAAGGGCATGAAGTCAGGACAAGGGCACAAGAACCCTTACAAGAAATGGAAGGGAAGAAGAAAGGGAGAGCAGGAGTGAAATGGCTCCTCTTTTTCTGAAGCTGGAACTTGGGCTTGTATAGCTGAGCCAGAGGTGTCTGAGTGTTTCTTTGACAGAGGAGAGATGTATCAGAGAGCCTTTCTACCTGGGACCGCAAAGGTTTAAAATGAGTACTTGGTGGAATGATTGTTGTTTTCACACACCCTGGGAGAGAAGACAATAGCTAAATTCCCAACTATGGAAGTTTGCATGTGCACATCCCTTCTCTCCCTTGGGACTGATTTGAGAGTGTATATAATACTACAAAAAACTAAAACTTATGCAAGTAAGCTTTTCCTTATGTAATTCTGCCTGGGATGGACGTCAGTAAAAAGAAAAGCAAAGATGCAGATCTGGGGGAGAAGAGCACTTTAGTAATTTTAAGGTTTTCTCATTAGAATATGAATCATAGATTCAGTTTAATTATTGATATGTACAGTAATGTTAAAACATGTTTTGTATAAAGAGTTGAAACTGGTACACAGCTTATCTGGGTCAGTGTAAGTCTGACAGAGTTGCAGGTAAATGCTTGCATCTTTCACAATTATACAAAAGTTAGAAAGTAACAATTGTACCTTAGGGTTTAGGGTATTTCCTTGGCAAGTGGCTACAATAGCTTAAAATATTACTATTGCTGTCTTGGAGGTCAGTGCCCACACAGACGTGTGAGATCTCTTTAGCTGCTTCTGTGCTGACCACCTTCTGTGGCAATTCAGGCTGAAATGGTAGCTATGAATAGTTGAGAAGGATGGTAAGGTCTTCAACTAAGTGAATTAAAGTCCCATGTGACGCTGGGACTCCCGCAGTATTTAAGGTTTTGTGGGTGTTAAATTGTTATATTGCAGAGTTGCTTTATCTTCCACTATAGAGAGCTTTTAAATAAATAATAGTCCCCAAAAGCCTTTTTATATGACTTTTATCATCCTGTCAGTGGGGTGCACATTAGTTGCAGGAATTGGTGATTATGTTTTGCAATCCTTAAGCTTGAATATTTTTTTTAATATCTTTACCTAAATGTGTTCAGGAGTTGTCATTACAGATTTTTACCAGCCCCTAGGAAACCTCTGTCACTTCATTCTGAGATGACATCAATTGAAACCGTTGTTTTGATAATTCACAGGGTCAATGATTTGAAGACTGGTAATCTGGTAGGAACTGACAAATATGGAAACAAATACTATGAAGACACAAGAAACTTCTTTGGTATGTGTGCTAACGTGAACACCTCCCAACAGAGTGTTCAGCTTTTACGGAGCTTGCGTGGTTTCTGCTAATGAAATAGAACTTGTTGCCTGCCTGACTTCCTTGCACTTAACTTGTGTGGGTCTTTAGACAAGGGACTCATAGAAATGCTTTGACATCTTCTATTTCTCTATTGCGTCCCTCAGTTCATTTGCAAACACAGTCAATCTGAAACAATAAATATGGGCTAAATAGAAGCCAGTCAGATGCTCTCCATGTAGGTAGAGCTATATGATAATGTGATTGAGAGCTGAATTTGGTCCTTGACCTAAAAGCTGATAGCATAACAGGTGGGGGAAGAAAGAGAACTGCCTTTAAAACTGCCTCACAGCTGTACTACTCATATAATCACTTCAGGGCAGAGAAACACAGGTTAGCCTAAATTTCCTATTACCTTAAGTAACTGGATTTTAAATAATGTTTTTAGAGTACTTAAAAAGGTAGCACCTAAAGCAATGCAGGTAACACATAAGCAGTTGACATTCTGGTTAGTCCAAGCTACCTGCTGACTGTAGGTTACCTTGTAGGGTAACCAGGAAAAGCACTTGCTGGTTAACATTGCTTGGTAGTTCTATCTAGCTGAAATTTAGTTTAATCTTAGGTTATCAATGACAATGTCCTTTTGGAAAAGACTTCTCATAATGGAGAAAAAATCCCCAAACCTGTTTCTCTGCCTGAAAATTTTGTGAGTTCCTATTTCTCACTACTTATACAATAGCTAATATTTGCCTACTTGTGAGAGGATTAGATTCAGCTATATAAAAATACAGTAACAGTGGAAATACAGAAGACTTGGAAAAATAAAAGCTGTGCTAACTGTAAAATAAGTAAGTGCCCATAATGGCAGATACTGTTACTCAAAATGTTTTTCCTTGGTTTTCAAGAATTCTCTCCTTTATATGAAAATAATTTTTATTTTGGGGCTAATACAATATTTCTGTTTGTGTATTTAAGGTCGACACAGATGGGTCGTATATACTGAAGAAATGAATGGCAAAAACACGTTTTGGGAAGTTGATGGAAGTATGGTGCCCCCTGAATGGTAAACCACTTGGCTTAATTATTTGGACAGACACCAATTGTGTAATTGCCTCTATATTTTCTTGTATTACAAAACAGAATTTAAAAAAAAAAAAGTTTTCGGGTCACAGCTATTCTATTTATGACCAGAACATTTCAGACTTGTTAGTTCATAATGTTGTATTGCTTACTGTCCTGGTAGATGCACTCACTGCTTTTTGGAACGAGAAAAGCATTTTGCCAGCCAGATTGAACAGGTTTTCCAATTTTCCTTATTAGTTGTGATTCCCTGTTAATGGTTTGGCAAAGCCTTGAGCCAACAGAAGTAAAAAAAAAAAAAATTATTTTCTGTTCTAGGCAAGAACCTAAAGAACATAAGGCAATGATGGAACAACATTCCTTAATCCACAGCCATTAACAGCACAATTATTTCAATTTATATACATTGATGTGATAATCAGCAGTAAAGGGCCAGGATGCTCTGTATGTTGACTGCTACTTAACTATAATTTTTATTAAGGTTTTATTTTCTGTTCATGCATCTCAGTAATAATTCTGTACAATCTTGAGTTCCAAGTGGTCTCTGGCCACCCAGCTGTTAATACTTTTTTTTTTTTTTGATCTTCCTAGATAACTCACACCACATAAAGTAACAGTGTATGCTAGTAAAAACAATCTCTGCAGTTCTCCAGGAACAGCAGTAGCACTGCAGCCCCAAAGCAGCAAAAGGTGATATGAAGGAAGAGGTGTTTGGGTAGTCTAAGCATTAGCATCAGCAGACACTGGGTTTAATTACTCCTGTGATACATGTTCTGTGCCAAGGCTGAGATTGATTATATGAGCTCCTAAACCGTGGCTCTCACTAGAACACTTCAGAGGTGTGTGGGTAGATTCTCTAGGTAGTCAGTTTTGTTCCCAAATCTTTGTTTGCAAAGCCTAGCCATGGTGGCAGTTTTGTTTCAAACTCTCCCAGCCTTATAATTGTGATTAATGTGTTTAATGCTTTTTTCTGTCTGATTTGGTAAGAGCTGAATGGCATTGTTTTTTAGAAGTGACATTAGAATCTCCAAGATGTTCGTGCCTTATTTGCATAATAACTGTTCTTTGGTTCTAGTTTTTATCCTTTCACTGTTAGACTGTGCTGGTTTTCAAGATGTTCCTTATTTTAAGGCAAGGGTTTTGTTTTGTTTTGTTTTATTTTTTTTCCTTTGCTCGTGCTTATGCAATGTTAGTTGCCTCTTTACAAACCTCAACAAAGGGTTTCTTCCTGAGTATCAAAGGGATCTTTCAAGGGTTAAGTAGCTTATTTATTTCGTAGAAATTAATGAGGTAGAAAGCTTTGGTTTCCTATCAATGTGGAAGAAATTGCCCTAGAAGATGCAGTAAACCTTTTATTATTTTCAAGACTGGTGAGTGCAATGAGGCTTGAAAGGGTAAACAATCCTGTGTTCTAAGGTATTTTTGTCAGGAAACTTAGTTGTGCAGTACCATTCAGGTTTGTGGATTTGTTTTGTTATGTTTTTTTTCTTATTGCTGATAAATTTGTATGTCTTGTAACAACATGCATTTATACTTATGTAGGAATCCTAGCTTTGTGACACATCTAAGTCACTGATGTGTATTTCCATACTGCTTAGATCCATCTTTAAAAATAGAAGTATTTTGACAGGGAATAAATGGTGTCTTTTAGGGTTTTTTTTTATTATTACTATTTTTATCTGATGCTATACTGTCTTAAATTTTTAACATGACATAAGCTTCTGAATTGAGACAATATATTGTACAAGCTGCTGTCAATGTAACAGTAGGGTTGTGCAGCTGTACAGGTTTTTGCACAAAACCTGAATGGTTATTTTGGACCCAGAAATTTGTTGGAAATAAATTAGACTGTGTGTAATTACTTCTGTTAACAAGGGGATTAATTAATATATAGTATAATAGTATGATACATGTTTTTAATCCTTGGGTCGACTTGGAAGTGTATAAAGTACTGTTGTAACACCTGGGTGTGATCTTACTTACTCTAAGTATTTTATTTTTTTTTACCCCAGGATGTAGTTGATTCAGCTCAGTGGATCATTTTGTGGGTGTGTTGTTGTACCCACTGCAGGTGGAAGCAGGTTTTACTACAGTGTTTATGCTGATGTTACTTTCAGAAAACATTTTGCAACTGTCACTCCTAAAGATGACACTTTGAACAAAATCAAAGTTTAAGACCAAGGCTAACCTAGAATTTTCAGGTTTTTCTTTTTTAAATAATAAAGCTAACTAGTTTGTAATGATTTTGTAGTTCTCTTATAAAAATGCTACTGTATTTAGGATTACACTGCTGGTTATCTTACTGATTACACCCTTACACAGAGTACACTGCATTCTAAAGTATAATTTTGCAGTCAGTTGTGTGCCTTCTGGATTGTGGAATATGAATGATTGTTCAGATATAATCAGGTGAACCTCATGCATGATGAACTAGAAAAAAACATTTTGGTATGTTGAAAAGTTTTGAAAACAACTGGAAAAAACAATGCTACCCTTTACCTCCTGTCAGATACAAAAGAAAAGGGAAAAGCAGCAAGAAAAAAAAATCTTATATGTAATAACATATTGTTGTACTGTTTTTAGAAACTAGTGAATATTTTCAGTGTTCTGAAATAATTGATGTAATGTCTCCTGACAGCGGATATACTGAAATTACAGTCTGAAGGAAATCAAAGTGTTGTTTTGACATATGTCTACTATGCAGGGAATCAAGACTGTTGCTTTTCTAAAATGTTGCCACACTAGAATATGTAGGTTTGTGGTTTATTCTGATTTAGTTGTGTTATTTAACCTCTTTGTTACTCTAGGTTTTCTTTTCTTGTCTTCAAAATCCAAATGTTGGTATCTACCTCACTGGAGACAAGTTAATTAGATTTTTAAAAAATGCCTTCAACACTTGCCTGAGGAATGCTTAGTATTCACTTACTGTAATGCTATACAAGATATTGGGCACATTTTTTTTCCCTTTTACACTTTTAGACAGAAAATCCAAAATAGTTGTTTTGTCTCCTACTGGTCAGAGTATGCTGTTTGCAGGAACTCAGTGCTTCCATTTTTGAACACACTGATCATATGCACTCTGTGAACATATAAACCATAGAGGTTAAATCCATTTATACCAATGTCTGGATGGACTCTGTTTAGTGCTTTCATAGATGTTTTCATTGCAGAATCACTCTAATCATTGGGCTGTGTGTTTAAACTATTTGTTTAGTGTATTTCTGGCTAAATGTACTTTGGTTTGTGTTTTGGCTGGATACTTAGCAAAAACAAATTGACAACTGGTTAAAGTGTACATACTAGTTAAAAAGAAATTGTTCTTTCAAGATCATCCTGTGGGGAAAGAAGAATTGTAATTTGAGAATAGTTTTTCTGTTTTGTAGGGACACTTCATTTTGCCAGCACTGTCCTTTGTATTTGTAGTAGCTGTCCTGTACTTCAGTGTTTATTTCCTTGTGGTGCAAATCTGACATCTTTGGGAGGACCATCAGCAGTACTGACTTCATATAATGAAATATTCCAAGTTTACCTTCAGTTTAATAATCTGCATCCTCTTTGTTAGTTGATCTGACAGCTGAAAGAGAGAGGAATGTGGCACCTCAGACTTGAAGTGCCAACACACTAGGAAATGTAAGGAAATGTGTGATTTTCCTGTAAAAATGCTGCTTTTCAAGGAAAACAGAACAAAAAGATTGCAGAAAAGGAAGGGGAGTAAAATTTCCATCCTTCCTGTAACTTCATAATAAATTTGTGGGGTTTTACAACTAGATTAAATGCTAGTTTGGTGTTTTCAGGTAAATTCCATCTCATTGCTATACAATAACTTATAGTAGCTTATATGAGAAATTAAAGTTATCTTCCATGTGTAAACAAACACATTTTTTGTCCCTTTTTCATTCTCTCCCTATTCTTTTCTGCACTTTGACCCTAATGCACATCTTCATTTCTCTTGTCTCATTGCAACATGGTGAACTTGTTGAAAAGTGGATGTTAATGAGTTGGCAAACATCCTCAACTTACGTAGTCTGTGCCTGAACCTTGCAGATGCACATATGGTAGTAGCTACTGAGTTTGTGTAGCAGCAGTTCTTGTTTGACAGCTTGTACATCATATAATTGGCTCCGATCCCTTGTAGCTTCAGATTGAAATCAACTTGCTTTTAAACATTTGTTAAGACTTGGGAGAAAATTTTACATAGTCTTGAGAGCATTTGAAGATACTTCGAGGTGTCTTTCATCCCTTCACTCAGGGAAAAGTCCGGAGGCTTTCCTGGCCTCACTCTGCTTGGTAGTGACTGCTCTCTGATTCAGGAAGCTGCTTCAGCCTCTTCAGAGCTTCTGCTACCCTCCTGATTTTTTTTGCTCTGCGTAAGTTTTCTGCTTTGTAGGTTTGAAGTCATTAATTGCTTTTGAAGCCTATTTTTCCATGCATGGATTTATAGGCAGAGTTTGTATAGAAATCTGGCCATCTGCAGGATGTCAAATCTCTTTATTCATGCTATTCAATCTAGTGCATGAAAAGCTTTTCTTGAGCATCTGGGAGTAGTCTATGAGACATCAAGGCTTCAAAAGATTCTTTGAGGAAGGTTGTCAAGGGGAAAGTCTCCCCAAAATAAAGTTTTCAAGATTTTAAGTGGAGAGTGGGAGCTTTTGTTTGAGAGAGCAGGCTCTGCAAACCAAAATGCTCTTGTAAGTCTTCTAAGGGGAACCTAGTTTAACCCTGAAACTCTTCAATATAATTCATAGTGGATTAAGTTAAAAACAAACTTTTGAAATCTCTTTATGTATTTCAATACCTGTACTGACATGTCTTGTCAGTGAGCAATTTTATTGCTACTTTTCAGTGAGAAAATGCAATTTAAGGATCAGGTTTGCTACTTATTTAAATTTGAGGCTGATTTCATTTTGTGTTACAGAAATTCAGAAAATCCTGAAAGTAAATATGTTAATTACCCAAAAATACTGTATTTTAAAAGACTTTATGGATTTAGTCTTAGAAAAGCTGCAGAACAATAGTTTAAATGACAGATAAAGCTACTCTCTTAAATGATACTGTGAAACCTTTCTCATATTTCAAGGAATGAGTGTATGATATTAAGTACACGTGTGGTAATAGAAGTGCCAGACATGATGCAAGCTTGGAATCTGATTGATTTCAGCTGAGCATTAATACAGTAACTGTGCTCCACCTGCTCCAGCCTGTCTTTCAGGGGCCTTTGTAACTGCATTTCTTCTGACAGTTTTCTGTTGGTGTGTGTGGCTCTTGGAGGAGGATGAGGATGGTGAGGCATGGTGACAGATGTGTAAAGAGGAATTTGTGTGCAGGATCCTTATCCACTGTTACCAGAAGCATCACTAGGTGCAGGTGTGTGAGTTTAAGTTGCCTCTATGTGTTGTGGTTTAACCCCAGCCAACAGCCAAGCCCCACACAGCCACTCACCCACTCCCCCATGAGCAGCATCGGGACAAGAATAGGAAACATAAAAGCCAGGAAACTCGTGGGTTGAGATAAAGGCAGTTTAATAGGGAAAGCAAAACCTGCACATGCAAGCAAAGCAAAGCAAGGAATTAACTCCCTGTTTCTGATGGGCAGGCACGTGTTCAGCCGTCTCTGGGAGAGCAGGGCCCCATCACGCGTAACAGTGACGGGAAGATGAATGTCATCAGTCCAAATGTCCCCCCCTTCCTCCTTCTTCCCCCAAACTGATATACTGAGCATGATGTCATATGGTCTGGAATATCCCTTTGGTCAGTTTGGGTCACCTGTCCTGGCTGTGTCTCCTCCCAGCCTCCCATGCACCCCCGATCTCTTTGCCAGCGTGGCAGGACGAAAAGCAGAAAAGGCCTTGGCTCTGTGTAAGCCCTGCTTGGCAATAACCAAAACATCTCTATGTTATCAACCCTGGGTTCAGCACAAATCCAAATCACAGCCCCACTGTGAAGAAAATTAAATCTACCCCAGTCAAAACTTTTTTCAAGTGAAATTTTTTTTTTTTGTGATAAAGTTATAGCCAAAGTTGTGTTTTTTTTTTTTTTTTTTAAATTCATGTCCGGAAGCTATTTGAAAAGATTATCAACCTTCTGTAGAGCTCTTCAGATTTAGAATATACCTGTCAGTCTATTTCTCACCACTTCCACTGTGGTTTTGTTCTACTGTATTAATGAAATGTACTGGATTTGTTGCCAAAGGCTGAAGATGCGTTTTTTTAGGCTTTCTAATACAACTGGAAGACTTCATATTTTTAGGTCAAGTCTTTGCAAAAGCTGATTAGCAAAAGTCTTTTTAATTCTACCTCAGTAAAAAAATACATAAGCTTGCAAAAAAGTCATAACTTCACTTTCGCCGTAACTGTGCATATAGTATGAAGTACATGTGAACTAGCAGATAATTAAAATATAATTCAGATATGAAAGTTGCTTCAGGCACTGAAATAGAAATGGGATATTAATTCAGTTGGTCCCTGCTGTAGTGTTTAAGTAAATTGTTATGGAAAATGCTTTGCTTGATGATTAATGTTGCTTGCACAGAGAAGGATTGACATTTAGTTCATAGGTAAAGGCTAATCACCGTAATCACTTAGTAATTACCCTATTGCTGATTGGTATTAATCATTTTATTGTGCAGTCAGTAAACATTTACATGCTTGTTTTAGATGTACTTGTATCGTTAATCCATATCCCAAATGGTAGTCTCGTGAATGCTTTGGAAATGGTATTGAAATTGCTGCGCAGCACAGTCTTCTGGTAATTAAAAACAAAACAAACCCTCAAAACCCAACAAATCAAAAACCCAGAGAATAAAACCAAACCTTGTGATTTTGTCATTCATAGGGCCTGCCTTGACCTGGCTGCCTGGTTAAAGCCATACAAACACATAACAATGTACTCTGCCTAAATACTCAGCATACAAACAAACAGGAAATTTGAACTCAGGTGTGCTTCCAATTGCATGGAGGCAGAACTGGTTTTTATCACTTAGGTTTGTGTAACTACTTTAAATCAGTATCCTCTAGTCTCATTCAAAGCCACACCGGATTATTTGTCTCCTCTCTCAAAAGAAATACTTAGTGTCTCTTCAGAGGAGAACCCTTGGGAGTCAGGAGATAGGCTTGTTGGAGATCATGTAAAGTTCTGTAATAACAATGTGTCTTTTTCCTCTTAAGGCATCGCTGGCTCCACTCAATGACTGATGACCCTCCAACTACTCATCCACCGGTTGCTCGTAAATTTATCTGGGAGAACCATAAATTCAACCTGAGTGGCACCCCTGGGCAGTACGTGCCTTACTCTACTACTCGCAAGAAGATCCAAGAGTGGATCCCCCCTAAAACAGCCAGCAAATAACAGCAACAGAAATGTGACTTGCCTCAGCTTTGGCTTTCGGTATAAATTGTATCTTCACTGGTTTGTTCAGAATAAAAGCCTCCTATAACAGCTGTAGTTTAGTTTATTGAATTGGAGGGGAGAACAAGTGAGAAAACATTGGGAAGAGGACAGAACACATGACAGGTCTTAATCTCATGAACATACTGGGCTTTTTCTCATATCATCAGTGTCCTGTCTTCACATAAGCAGCTCTCAGACTCTTCTTAGCATGATAACCATTCCTGTGACAGTCACTCCTCACATTTGAAATACAGCTTTCTCGTGTTTTGATGTTATCCTGTTACAGTCTCTCCATGGCAAATAATGCACTCCTCATACACTATTTTAGGAGGCCATTTCTCTAAATTTTTATGTTAGAAAAATAAGGCCAATCTAAGATTATAGTTTTTACTCATAAAATGTGCATGAGTATGTTCATGAGTGTGCAAAAGGCATTGTTGTATTCCAGTATGGTATGATACACAATATAAAACTTGTAAGACTACATTAATCAAATGACATCTTCACCCCCTAAGAGAGCTCAGTCATAAGCAGAGGGCCCTCTGTCACAAAAATCTCTTTTGTTGCTTCTGTGTTGCTGAGATTTATTACAAGGTATTCTCATAAGGCTTTGGGATGAGCTGTTTGTCCTCTTGTGATAAGATTTTAGAGGTCTTTTGGAGTTTGAAAATGCACCTTTTTAGGAGGTACAGAGGTAAAATGTATCAGAGCCTAGTCTCAAAAATGTCAAGTTTTCAAGTTCACATTTGAAAGAGAGTTGTTTGGGGCTGTGGCTTTTTTTCTATAAGTTGCTAATGGTTGACTTCTATTGCAGCCTGCTAATGTTTTTTAGCAGAGTTGCCATCTCCACAAGGCTTCCTGTATCTGATGACCTACTCTGTGGATAACTAGTGGGGGGGGTGCCCACCCAGCCCCTCAACTGGAGGGGGGAGAAAATAGAAAGCTCATGGGTTGACATAAAGATGGGGAAACTGCTTGCCTGTTACCATCATGAACAAAAGAGACTTTAATATATTACCAAGTAAAATAGACTTGCGTGGTGAGAATCAAAGACAAAAAATGTAAATTACCACCTTCCCTCCCCACTTCTTCCCAGGCTCAACTTCACACCTTCATTCCTGACTCCTCTATTCACCCTGGGGTGAATGGGGTTTGTGGTCAGTCCATCACAGCTCCTCTCTGCTGTTCCTTCCTTGTACATTCCCCCTGCTTCAGCGTCAGTCCTCTTCATGGCTGCAGTCCTTTGGGATACGTCCAATATGGGTTTTCCATAGGTTGCAGTTCCTGTTGGGAAATGTCTGCCTGCTGGCATGGGTTCTTCCCGGGGTTCTCAGGAATCTCAGCTCTGGCACCTGCAGCACCTCCTCACCCTCCTCCTGCTCTGAATTCGGTGTTCCCATGGCTGCTGCACACTTCTTTTCTCTGTGTAATGTTTCTCTGCCTGTGTAATGTTTCTTACCCCATCTCAAATACTCTTTCCCAGAGGTGCCACCACCTTGGCAGCCAGACTGAGCCATGCCCTGTGGTGGGTTGGCTGTATCCAGCACAGGGTAGCCCCAGCCTCTCCACACAGAGGCCCCTGCAGACCTCGCTGCCAGCACCTTGACAATTCCACCCAGTGCACTGACTTAGAGGAATCATTGTGGAAGATGACTAAGGGGGTTGGATATATTACATGCTTGCAATTGCCTGTCAAGAAGAAAAAACCTTCTTTGCTCCCCAGTAGCCCCCACAGTGGCTGCATATCTGACTCTACACTGGCTGCTTTTCCTTCATGTACCTGCCTGACTGGGTCACTTAACCCCCAGTTGTTCCCTTATTAAATCAAGTTCATATTAACTCATTATTTAAAAGTTGGGGGTTTAGCTTTAATTGCTTTAAACTGGTTCCAGTCTTTAAATTAGTAGGAAGTAGCACCAAGATCTAACCTATCTAATTAGAAAGGGGTAATGTTTAATTTACTTTAAGTCAACAAAAGCACTGAGCACAGATGAAAAGCAATTTGAGGCACACTGAACAGTGAACATGGAAAGGACTTGTTTAACATTTTAATCTTGATAGATTATTTGACCCTAAGAACAAAGTTTGCTGAAGAGTTTCATCACTCTTCAGTGCTGCTGAAGAGTTTCATTACTAACACTCATCTATACAAGCCCTATGGGCTCAAACACAGATAAAGCAATAAACTTTATTTGTTTTAGCCTCTACTTCTCTTTAATGCATTTTCTACCTATTTCATTCCTCTGCTTTCTTTGTCCTGCCCATTTTTGGTTTGCTTCCTAAACACACATCAGGAGGTACAGTTGGGAATGAGACTCTACTCAGGGAATAGATAGTAACTCTTACTACACATTCCATGCTGAAAAAAGAGGCATCAGAGCCTGTTTGTCCTTTTGTTGTCATCTGGAACAGAAATATTGAGGTAGCAAGCCATTTTGAACAACTTTGTGTGCAGCAATGCTCCACAGAAAGAGAGAAAAATGAGCTTTCCTCCTGCCTCGCTGGGCTGAAGCAAGCCTAAGGACTCAGTAGTTTGGTTTAGAAAATATCATCAATCTCACTTTCTGGAGAGGACAGAAACCCGCTCATCCTGTTTTATCCAGCTGGAACCACAAATGGTGGATTTTAAATGCAAAATTTTCACTGGCATCTCTTGTAGCATTGTTTCTCTAAGGTAGATTGCACAAGGCACGTACAGGAAATAAAGCATATGCAGAAAAATCAGTGCTCTTCCACAGGGCTTTCTGCAAATGCTTCTGCAATTCAGTCTTTTTATCAGCAACCTCACTGAGTTATGGAAGTTCACCTTTGCTGATGACATCTGCCTCAGTATTCAGGCTCAGTTCCATTCTGGTCTACATGACATTTTAAATGCCAAGCTAGCCAAGAGTCTCAGCAGATGGTGTCTTCAACCAAGTGCAACCAAAGCACTGACAGGAATATTCCCCCTTGCACTAAATGTGATTCTTAAAAGAAACAACCTTCTGACATGAAACACTCTCTTTAAGGAGACGGGTACCTCTTCCAGGAGCAGCAGAGTGCTGAAACCCCCTTTTATTTTAAAATTATGTCTGTTCCAGTAGCTTTCCCCATCCCCACTGTCCAGAGCAGCCCTTTGCTGTAGCTGCCTCCAGGCTTTTGCTGAGCTCACAGCACACTCTTATCTCAGCCCTGTGCACTGGAATGGAGCCCTTCCCTCCATGGGCCCTTCCCTCTCTCGCTGCTGCCAGCGCTGCGCCTCTGCCCGGTACAGCTGAAACTGGCCGTGGGACGCGGGGGTGGAGAATGACGGTGAGAGGAGCTTCAGGAGACCGTCTCCCCCTGTGAAGATCCCAGTCAGAGCAGGTCAGTCCTGGGGCGTGTGACACGGCTCTGCAGCGCTGCCGCCCACGTGTGCCCCCCGTGCTCCGTGTCAGCCCCGCTGCCGAGCCGGCTGCGCTGCCCGGCAGGACACACGCCCGGTCCCCGTCTCGGGATGACTCTGTCGGCAGGGAGGTCAGCACAACACAGCATTAAAATAACAATTTTAATGTTAAATGGGGTCCATTGGGAGTGTGGTGCTTACTAAGCCTCCATGTTTTGACCTTGAGACCCAAAAATTGCCCTGACTGCACAGTTCTGGAGCAGGTGAAGGTTGCCTTGCAGACAGGACCTCTGCAGTAGGTGAGTACAAACAACACTCTTTATGGTCTCCAAACTTATATTGGCCTTGATGTTGAAAGCAGCTAATGAATCTGCTGTGGCTGTTTGGCAAAATATTTCAGCACATGAGATAGATGGAGGGGAGAGGCAGCACTAGCATTGCACTGAAGAGCTTGCAGCAAAAAGTTAACATTTCATAACCATTTCTAGCTACAGCAAGAGGAGAAATCTTTGACAGGTCAGGACATCCTAGAACATTTAAGAAACCTGGAATAAGAGAGCAGGAGATCTTGTCCTCTCCTGTTTGACCTGTGTTGTACTACTGATTGCTGTGCCCACTTGGGTCCTTGAGGGCCTGCTAAGAACATTCAGATAGTCACCAACTCATAATTCTATGTCATCTAACCTCAGGCTTCAATTTTTGGGATGTTTCCTGCTAGAAGTTGGTGTTGGAGAGCAGTCTTAAGTGGGAATTACTGGGGAAATTGTTTTGGATAGAGCTGGAAGTCATCAGCCCAGAAAGCTGAGGTATAAATTTTCCACAGCTGTAATGCATTCAGAGTGAAACCTTTGTTACTAATTCTTTGGGGCCTATTATTCCATTGGCAGCTGAGGAAAAGAGAGGGAACAGATCCTTGCTTTTCTAAGAAGTTAACGGCAAATCTAAAGGCTCTGCATTCATGTGGTGTTTGCAAAGAGTGTACAAAAGCAGGTACTTCAAGGTGTGGGCAAAAGTGGCAGCCTTTAAATAGCACTCTGGGTTCCTCACACAAATCCCACAGTAAATTCTGGATTGCACCAAGGGGAAGCATATTTCAGTGGAAGATATCAGAAAAACCCATGTCAGTGGGGAAGAGCCCAGCAGGTATTTCGTCTTTGAGACCTGCTGAGCTTTGAACACCACCCTCTGGTTCCCAAGCAGAGCAGGACCCACATGCTGGAGCTGGTGGTGGCTCTTACTTCCAGCATGGAGTCCAGGAAGGGGATGGCTTTGCTGGGTGTGCCATTCCCAGCTGCCAGCAGGGGCAGGACCATGCTCAGTTTGCAGAAGACCTCAGAGGCCCCAGAGACTTCCCTTTGCTGAAAGGCCAAAACCAGGTCTGGCCATTTCCTTGTGGTTTTGAATCACTTGTAACGTCACTTCCCAGACTGAATTTTGCAGGTGCTCTGAGCTTTGTTCATGTGCAACAAAGGGCAGAATTGAAGCAGGATCTTGTGTTTTCAAAATATATGTCTGTCATAA